TAAAAAAAATACTTATACAGAACATGTTACACAGTAAGGCTATATGTATATAGTATGTCACATAAATGTGGTGTCATACTTTCCGTCAATACATACTCATATACAGTGCCATATTTATGTAAGGACAAATGGGACTAGGCCCACTCAAAAGAGGGTCCAGCAATTTCAAACAAATACAATTAATTGTATTCTTTTTTATCATATTTTAGAAAAATAAAATAGATATGAATTTTACTTAGATATTGTAGTAGGATATTAAGTATAATGACTTTTTCCCGAAAATGATGGCCTTAAAGCTAAAATTAAATTTGACTTAAACATTAAACAATTAATTTGATATATAAATGTAAAAATTAATAATCAAAATACTAATTTTTATTTAAAAAAAAAGTTAACTTTTTAATTTGTTTAGTTTGTTTTTAACTTGAATAAATATTAAATATTAATTAGACACATTTTAAGTGTATAGTGTTCTTGCATATTAAATAATCATATTTTTGACAATTAAATATAATTCTATGATCCAACTACTCATTTATAAACAGATAATTACATATAACATTAATTTATAAATATATTTTGCATAAATTTTATTTTAGCATTCAAAAATATAGAAATGAACAATTTAGGGCCCAAAATTGTAAATTATACTTATATCATATACTATTAATATTCTTTGAAAATATTTTCATTGCAACATGTTAATATAGTAAATTTATTTATTGATTAATTATATTAGTATTTTAATTTCAAAGACATAACTAGAATATTTAATTAACTTTCTAATTTATTGTAACTTTTAACAAAGAGATGAAATCGTGTTGTTCAAAAAAATTAACGCTCACTGTCGCCATTATTCCAGGTATAATAATTATTAATTATTAATAGTATTACCACTGAAAAAATAAAAATTTTATTATAATATATTGTTTTAAACTAAAAAACAAAATATTTAATTAGATATTTGTACTGTACATATTTTTACATAGTATTATTAGAATTTTTTCTGTTTTGAGGTTACTATAATTTATTAATTGTTATTTATTGTAATATTTTTAAGAGTGCGTAATCTATTTTTGTTGCTCAAAACCATACTTTACAGAAAGAGCTCCAACGTCTCTTAGTGATTCGATTTCCGTATTTTCTATCTAAAAGAAAAAAAACTTCTTACAAGGTATATGGGACTTTAATTTTTAAAATTTTAATTCAAAATCATATAGTCAAAGTTTAAATCTCCCCAATTTTCATAAGTTTTTAATTTTTAATTTTATTTTTATGTTTAGCAATGTAATCAAAAATCAAAATCTATTGCGCCATGTAAAAAATCTTTCTCTTCCTAATAAAAAAAAAGTTATTGAAGTCAGACCTAATACCTATAAAATCACACTTAAAATGTTTTTTTTCTGGCAGTGCCATTGATATACGTAATAAAATAAATAATTATGGTTGTGTTTTCATTACTCTTCTTAGTATATCTAAAAAAGAGTTGAGCAATAAATATGACGATAATAAAATAATTAATAAATTAATTAATTTTTTCATCCTCTAGATTTATAACAGATTAACCTGTACGTTTATTTTAACAGAGATATACTAAAAAAAGCCCTACATGTATTTATTCATATGTTATATATTTATATGTAATTCTTTGTAAAAATAAGATTATTATAATTTATAGTAATAAAATTAAATATAAAAATACTAATACGATTTGTTAAATAAATTTTTTTGTTAAGAACCAAGTTAATTTAATATCAATTATATATAATATTAAAATACACAATGATAAAAATATAGTTAAATTTACTAAATGATTCAGAAAAAAAAAATCTGAAAAAGTCTGGCCTATTTAATTTTATAAAACCATGAAAATATTTACATATCAACGTACAGGTTATCAATATTATTATATTAGTATTTTAATTTCATAAACATAATAGTTAGAACGTAAAATTAACTAATTGATCATTATATCGTGTAGATATAGCTAAAAAATGGAATCATGTTGCCCAAAGAAATGCTCTCCACCGCCATCCCAAGTAATATGTATAATTAATTGACTAATATGTTACTGATAAAAAAGCATTAACTGAATGCTTTAGGTGTTAAAAATGTATCTTACATACCTAGACATCTATGAAAAAATAGTTAAGATTTTTATTTGAATTTCTATTTCAGCACCTATTATGAAATATGTTAATCACTATAAATAATAAATAAGTTATCTCATAATGGTGTGCACTAAAATTGAATAAGTTTTTTTAAGTCACAATTCTATACTCAATCAGAATTTTTAAGAAAAATATAATCATTACAGTTTGACAATATCAATATCATAGAGTAGAATTTATATTAAACTTTTATTTCCAGATGAACTGCATTATTCAACGAGTATCTCCACTTTTGGAACTTGGAGAAGGTCCACACTGGCACCAATGTACTCAGAGCTTGTATTTTGTGGATATACATAAAAAGAAAATTAATAAATACCATCCAGAAACTAGCTGTTATACTTCCGCTACAATAGGTAAGTCCTGTATATGTTATATTATATTGAGTAATAATGTTAATTAATTTAATGTAATTAAACAATATTTGTACGTCTTTCACAGATTGCTGCGATCCCTCGAGTTTCATTATCCCTGTCGATAACCAAAGTAATACTTTCTTGGTTGGCCTAGGCCCTGCTATAGGTGTAATAAGCTGGGACGGATGTTCGAATAGAGCAGAGTATAGGTACTTAAAAACAATTGATAAAACTCCGGGCAACCGTCTAAATGACGCAAAAGCTGATGCTTCCGGTCGTCTGTGGATAGGTAAGTATTCAGAAGGTTGATGCCAAGGTTAAGCTTTAGAGCATTAGTGTTTTAAAACAGTAAATTTTTTCAAAGATCTATGGGACCTGAGTTAAACGACAACTCAGGTCATTACCATAAGTGTAGGGGCTCGCTATACTCTGTGGATTTCGACGGTACCGTCACTAAAAGGTTAACAAACATTAGTATCTCCAACGGTATGGCGTGGAGTCCAGACAACAAACTGTTCTACTACATAGACACTTACAAATATGCTGTCGAAGCATATGCTTTCGATCTTGCCTCGGGAAATATCTGTAAGTAGTCTCTATGATCGTATTACTAGATTTTTATTAGTTTACGAAACAATATTATTTATTAAGTATCTTTGTTATACAGGCAACGGAAGAGTGATTTTTGATTTTAGGTGTAAAAATATAACCGGTGATCCAGATGGTATGACTATCGATACAGACGGTAACCTATGGGTAGCATGTTATAACAGTGATCACGTGAGTTTTCAAAAGACAATTTTTTATTTTTAGTAATATGGCTATTCAATATTTTTGCAATAGATTGTAAAAATTAATCCAAACACAAGCACAGTGTTGATGACCATCAAATTTCCTGCCTATCAGATCACATCTGCCGCTTTTGGTGGCCCAAACTTGGACCAGCTTTATGTGACCACAGCAAGTTATCGAACAACTGATGCTCAAAAAACAAAACTACCATATTCCTGAACTCTTTTTCGAGTTATCGGTACATGTTCTACTGGTTTTAACGGTGTACCTGTCAAAATTAACTTGTGCTCCTTAAATTGACTAGCACGATATAAATAAAATAATAAAATAAACATCTACAGCAATAAAATATCCATACAATTATTTATTTAAGTATGTATTCAATATTATTATAATTTGTATGACTGCATGTAAAATGTGACAAAATTACTATTACTCTTTTTTTTTTGAATATACAGAATAGAAATTGTAATAAAATTTAAAATGAGTAAAAAAATATTCAACTTCCATTATCCCTAATATATTTTACTAAAATACAGAGTCAATCGGAATCTATAAATAAGTATTAAAATCATACAAATCATATAAAAGTAATCAAAAATTTAAAAATCAAACATATAAAAGGCAAGTTATGTTTCATGAATTATTATCACAAAACATACTCTGCAACAGACAAATAGTACAAATTAATTGTAACTTGATGATATTTGATAAACCAATATTTTATTAATATTATTAAATTTACATATTTCTATGTTTCACCACTTCACAAACATAATACAAATATATATACCAGATTGATATGATAAAAAGGATACGAAAAAAACCAAAATAATTATATAATCATTTGCTAATTATCAATAATCAATAATTAATATAATTTTAATATAATCAAAGAATTGTTTTAAATTTTTTACTAGTTAAAGTCTAGTTAAAGTACATTTTATTAAATCTCAACTATTCATAAATTATATTATCTTTAATGTTTTAAAACCATTCTCTTCACAATCATCAATCATAACAGGTTATATAGTTTTATAAAAATTCTGAATGATTTATTTTTTTACCTTTACTTGTAGTACGCTAGTACCTACGCTACATATTATATTCGTAATACCATTTATCTATAATTTAATCGAAATTTATATAATATGGAATATAGTTAATTTTGTCGCAGTTTACTTATTTTTGTTCAATGGTATTCAAAGATATAATTGAAATGTATTAATCATATATTCATATTGTTTATACGTGGTAAAAAAAAAACTAAGCTTATGAATCGTATTTTGTATTCATAAATATTTAAATGCTTCCAAATTAATGTTAATAATAATTAGTATTGAACAAAAACAAAGTTTTTATAAATCGATAATATTGTTACACTCTTAACAAAGTGAAACGTTGCTCATTAAACACAGAGCACCTACTTAAAACCAACACGACAATACAACAAATTAATGACATAAAAATAAATATACGCAAAAGATAAAAAAATATAGCTCCACGACTCATACGCATTCCTCAGGCCTTTTCAAATCCAATAATAATTATCGATTAGCCGCCATTATATTATTAAACTTATAAAATAGAAAAATTCGAAACGTCGTCCAAGTAGATAATACTTAATGGATGTATTGATCGATGTAAAAAAATGCCAGAGTTATTAACATTTAACACTTACCTCACGGTGGCAGATGTGCATTCGTGTGCGGTAGCATTGGTGATGCAACACAAGCGATTGCTGTTCGGTCACTGCAGGACGCCGCCAGGCAAGATATAATAATACCAAGACGAGAGATGAAATTGATGAGAGCAAATCGATTATTGTATTTTTTATTATGTCTATACACAAAATAGTAATAAAATGTCTTAGTGGCGACGATGGTGGCAGTGAAGGCGATAGCCGTGACCTGGCTGGATTCGAATATTCGAAACAACTGGTCAATGATCGCGTCTCCTCGGCTTGCACAAGCACGACTTTGCAGCTAATAGCCCCATTGTTACCAACCCTAGTCGAGCGAACTCGGCCTCCGATAGCGCTAACGACAAGATGCGCCCAGTACGAACAAATTCATGAATTTCCAGACATCGATTATTGTGCACGATAATTTTTTTCTAGTTTAAAAACTATCCACCTCGGATCGACGCAAAGTGAACTTTTTAACGAACTCAAATATATTTTAATTTTAAATATCAAACCACTGGACTGGAACTGCTTGATTCTTATTTTAATCATACTATATTAATACCTAGCTATTAGCTCCTTTACCTTCATAAAACCGTTTCGAGAATCAATTTGATCTAAGCAGTGCCGTGCCTAGGGGGGTGCGAGAGGTGCGTGTGCACCAGGCGCCAAAACCTTTTTATCATCTAAGCTAATTAGCTAAGTAATATTACTGATAAATGAAAGTTAACCATATTAATTTATATTTTATAACAGTTTCAATTCAATACAATAATATCATTCTGATCGGCGGTGTCCATTCAATTATTTTGACTGGTGATGACATACCGTTTTAAAATGTATTGTAGGCAATTATGTAAAAATACCTATTCATGTATGGATATAATTGGTTTTTATTTTTATCCCGAAATAACGACGTCGTTGATCGTCAATAACAATAATATACTATAAATATATGTATACTGCATTCTGCATTAATATTGTTATTTTGTATAATTACTATTTTAATAACAGAATTTCGACTGGAACAAGTTGTACGATTTTATTTTGAACCCAACTATGATAATGTTCACATCACTCATTGCAGAAGTAGGTACAAAATTATTTTTTATTATCATTTATTTGAAGATAAGTTATTTTTCTGTAATCGAACAAATTTGATTCGTAAATAAATGATACCGATTTAGTACGATTGGTACTTATCTATCAATATTTTTTATTCTACTTATACATACAGTTTAAATATTATATTACTAATCTATTAAGTTAGAAATGTGCAAAAAAAAGGTAAATCTAACGAATTTCTCTCCCCTATTCATATGTTAACATTTTATAGGTATAAATACACATAGTATAGGGGATAAGGGCACTAAAAATAATTTTTGACACCAGGTACTAATAATGCTAGGCACGGTACTGGATCTAAATATATACGCGCACTCATATTTTTAATCGATTGCTGCCGACACGGGTAATCGTTATTACTCGCGAAAACACCAACGGTGCCGGCATAGAACAATAAACAATTATTGCTTCTATAACTAAAATTTATTACTGGGAGAGCAAATTATTTTTTTTTAATTTTTGAAATATAGGTTTCTCGATAAAAAAATTTTAAAAACGTAGGTCTGGGCCACATCATATGGGTTTAAGTTGTGTGGGTCACGTATTTTTTAATAATACCTAATGAGTAATGGTAAATACATATGATGTTTTATTATTATTTGTTGATAAATGACATGGGATCAATGCCGTGAACATATCTCCAATAATAAAGTTTTTTTTATCAAAATCGGATAGAGTTGATTCACTAATCACCCGTATAATTAATGTTGCCCGTGCTATTATGCAAAGATAAAAGTATACAACACTATTAAAGTTTATTTGATGTTTAATATTTTGTAGTTTTATATTCTTGTAATATTTTTTTCTCGTAATATTAATATATTAAATACAATTAATTAATGGTTTTTAAATAACTCTTTTATTACTTTTTATTTTACATTTCTTTTTTTTACATTTTTGAATTTTCATCAATTTATTTTATTTTTTCTAAATCATTGTAATGAATTGTTTACATTTTTTCCCCTTGTATTCAAAATATAAGATATACCTAAATAATTATTTTTAATTCTCCTTAGCATACCTATTTGCAGTTCCATGCATATAAAACTTCATCAAATTTACCAACTTTAAAACCAATTACTGAAGTATGTAAGTGAGTTAGTGAGTATCGAACGTAGCCAAGTAGGTGTTCAGTAAGAACTATTTTTTCATCTATATCATAATTTCAGAATCTAACAAAATTATAATTTTGTTTTGAGGACTAATTTATGTAAAAAATAAAAGAGATATTTAGTTTCATTTTAATTATTATTTGTGACGGGTAACGGTATAATTTGTAGTATCTATTAAATCTAAAACAAAGAAAAAATAATAATAATTAATAAATTATTAAGCATAAGTCATTTGGTACTTACCAGTATTATATTATGTTTAAGCACTTGAACAAAAAATAAACATACAGTAATATAACTTATTGCAGTATAAGTATAACTGTTACCGGCAAAACGATGAATAAAGGCACTCTACAATTCCCTAGAAATTCTATATAGAATTCCTTGAACTATTTGACAATGTATTAAATTTGAATGGTAATTTATATTATGTCTAGGTATTCTATACAATTCCTAAAATTTCTGTAAAACGCCTATACTATATTAGATAATGTGTTAAATTAAAATATGTTTATTATTATTTATTGTTCATTTTTATTTATTTATTGCAGCATATAGTTGATGCATGACATTTAGAACTACATAAAATATTATTTTTTACACATTAAGCATTTTTTAGATTGACATTTTCAATTTACCATTCGATAAATTAACAATATTTTTAAACTTTTCTTTAGTTCAACATTAAAACGTTCAGACATTTTAATATATATCTTAATACGATAAACACTTACAAAAGTCAAAATAAATAATATTTTTAAAGACATATATTGGATTTTCCTATATACATAAATAATATGATAATATGGTTAGCTAATAATAACGATAATACATCGCACACGTGTTGTATGCGATAGCATAATCGTCAAGATAAACATTAATCGTTGATTACAGAGGTACACTGGGCACAAATCTAAGTTTTATATTAATTATATTTAATATTTATACTTTTCCTGCTTGAAGTTAGGTGATTTATAGAATACCTAGTCATTGTATTACATTCTATACTTTTCCTGCTCATTTTTGGGATTCTATAGAATACCTAGGATCAGGGGCGGAGTGGCCTATCTGGAAAACTGGAATTTTCTAGATGGGTCGGTACTGACGAATATTATATGGGCCGGATCCACAACATTAAAAAAAAAGTTATTTATTTCATTAAATAGGTAACAAAATAAGTGTATATTTTAATGAGCTTTATTACAAATAATACAAATAAATCTTAGTCTTAAAATGAAGTGTACGTGATGATGATGTCCTATCAATTTAATTTTATGATTATTGATTTATGAAATACGAGTATATAAATATATCATGAAGTATCGAATGTCAATAATTATTGTCATCTATGGTATTTCCATTTCTTCGTAAAAACAACTGCACGAATAGCAAATGCAGCATATAATATTCTATGGTGCAGCTCGATTCCCGAAAGTTCTTATCTATCGGTCTATCGTGTCAATTTTAAATTATAATAATAGAATTGAATCATATATTCATATGTAATAAACTAATAAGTAATAACTATGTTCATTGTAAAATATTATAAGAATATAACTTGTCACGCTCACGATAAACAATTTGAAATCACATAATTATCAGTATTATCATAATAATTCATAAATCATTACAAATGTCAAATTACAATCGCTGCACGTTGTTTTCGTCGGTTTTTTCATTGTCACCTGTTTTATTTTTTTCCTTCAAACAATTTAAATTTTTAATCATTAATAATTCACATATGTCGAAAAAAAGAAAAGGTGGAACAGAAAAAGAACGCGATAGAAAAAAACAATTGCTACTCAAGTCAGCTCTAAATTGCACAAAAATTATTCCGTTATTTAATGAATCCGGTAAGTAGTTAGTACTTTTCTATTGAGTAAATTTACGAGAAATTATCACTAAAATATGAAAAAATTCACATGCCTTATACATATCAGTAGGTACGGTTTTATAAATTATTTTGTTGATTATATTTTTATTTAAAATAAGTCAAACCAAAATGCTTACTACAGAATCACATGGCAAAAATGAAGAAAATAATACAGAATTGGAGATGCTTTCGAACACAACACTTGATGGTAATTTAATTATTTCTAAATAAAAACTGCCTAATATTTATGTATATTTTATTTTTATTTAAAATAGATCAAGTCGCAGTCAATTATACAGTAGAATCAAATGAGAAATGAGTTAAAACTGATACTGACTTGCCTACTGATTCATATACAATACTTGAAGGTAAATTATTATTTTAAAATAAGAAATGTGTAGTGTAATAATAATTAATAAATAATATAATATATTTTTGAACAAAAATAAATAAATTAAAATAAATGTGAAAAACTTATATTGTCTGATATAAAGTCAACAAATTAACAAATGCCTAGTTTATATATTGTATAAATATAAATAATTTTATCTATACATTTTTAAATAGGTCAAATTGAAAACTACATCCAATTCTACTTTATCATTTGTTAGTAGAAAAGTATTTATCCATCAAAATAAAACAGTTAGAACCTGGTGTACATATGACAAGACCAACAAGAAAATGTTTTGCTCAGTTTGTATAGCTTCTCAGTAGAAACTAATCCTTTTATTTGTGGAGTGACTGACTGGAGACATACTTACCAATGAATCACCAAACATGAAAATAGTAAAAGTCATGTGTAATGTTGTGATGCCTATTTTATGCACTGCCATCATAAAGATATTGGTAGTTTATTAAATAGGAATCAAATGCACCTACATCGTGAATAAGTTTAAAAAAATCGGTAAATCCTAGAACGAATAATTGAAGTTATTAAAATAATAGGAAAATGAGGTTTAAGAGTTAGGATTAGACATAACAAAGCAGTATATTTTCTAAAAGATCCTGCATTAGACCATGGTACCTTTTTGGAAATGATTATATTTTTGAGTAAATATGATGCAGTGTTAAATGAACATTTAAATACAAATATTAATAAAAGTGAAAACAATAATTTAAAAGGATCCAAAGGAAGAGGCAATTTTGTGACTTTTCTTAGCCATTATTCCATTGACAGTATTACCTCAACAATTTCATTAATAATTAAACAAATAATATCTGAGCAAATTTCAACAGCTGGCATGTTTTCGGTTTGAATTGATACCACTCAAGACATATCAGTGATGGACCAGTGTTCAATTATTCTTTGTCATGTTTTCAATGGAAACATTAATGAAAAATTAATAGCTATTAAATGTTGCTCAGAATCTTCTGGAAAAGCTATGATGGAATTGTTACAAAGTGCTATGAATGAAGTTAATATTGACATATTGAAATGCATTATGCAATTGATGGAGCCGCAAATATGCAAGGTGCATATAATGGGTTCACTTCATGGTTAAGTAGAGTAGCTCTAGAACAAATACATATTTTGTGTTTTAGTCACATACTAGACTTAGTAATTTGTGATGCTACTAAGAATCCAGTTATAGTATCTAACTTTTTTTCTTTAATCAATGGATGTGCAGTTTTCTTCAAAGAGTCATATAAGCGAATGAATATATGGAGAATTATAAGTGAAAATAACAATGAAAATATTTGTCACAAGCGTTTAAAACTAATTGGAGATACAAGGTGGACATCAAAACTTAATAATTAAGGATTAAAATGTCAAACTTAAACAATCCTAGAATAATTATTTTTAGAGTTATAAGTCAAAAAACTATAAATTGCATGAATTTTGCAGTTTTTTGGTTAAATTGCTATAACTTGGTCAATTTTGGACTTAGAAAGTTAGTTAACTACCAAAATTCATTAAAAAATTAGGCAAAAAATAATTAATGATTAAAATAGGTGGTTACCATTAAAAAAAAAAAGTTGTACTGTGCATGCGCATGTCTAATTAAGTTAAAAATATTCAAAGGCATAAAAATGTGTATTTTTATGTCATAAAAACCGATCAAAAGACAGAATTCAAATCGCAAATTTATTGAGTATTCTCAGTTAGCGTTTACACACTATTGAAGAACTGTACTCAAATAGTGACACAGAAAATGAAGATGAAGATAAAGACATCAAAACCATGAAGACATGTGAAAATTGTAACATTTGTTGTTACAATACGTTGGTTAAGTATAATCATTACTCTAATGCGTACCCTTCATTATCCATTGCTTATCAGTATTTACTAACTTTGCCAGTAACCCAAGTGGCTTTTGAAAGGTCATTTTCTACTTTAAAATATTTAAAAACCGTTTAAAAAATTCATTGACAACCAAACAATTGGAGCCATTCATGTTTATGGCGATTGAAAAACAAATTCTGTATAGTTTGGATAATAATATGATTATAAATAAAGTTGGTGGAAAATCCAAATTATTTTCTAAATTACTCTTATAGTTTATAAATATTAAAGTACACTTTGTGACATTTCCATGTACATATTTTTTTTATTTAGAAATATTAAATGAAAATAAAATGTATTTGTTAATTTTATAAGATCAAAGTATATTGTATAATTTTTTTTTTTTCAAGTTTGTGTTTGCCCTTGAAATAATTAGCTAACTAATGGGCCGGCAAAATATACTTTCCAGGCCTTAAATTAGATCCCACTCCACCCCTGCCTAGGATTTTTATATAATACCAGATTCAACACATTGCCGGTAACATAACTAAAGCTAAAAGGCATTCAGAAATTCTCAAATACGCTTAACTCTCAATCTCAATTATCAGTGAAATCTCGACAAAATCGACAATCATAGATAAGCAAATTCCTTGGTTAATCCACAAAGTACAAATTCAATAGTATTCAAAGAAAATTAATATTATCATATATTCATTTAATATATTATATGACATTTACATATAATTTTTAACAAAAAAAATAAGTGATTTATTTTTTTTTCAATTTTAAACGCTACTTGTCATTGAAATTTTAATAACAATATTTTTTCACAGAAGGGATTGCATTGTTTTGTTCTTAAAGATTTTATATTATACGAGTACAATATACATCATAAACATTATATTTAGTACACGTATGGTTTCACAAAAATATTTAAATGATTGAAAGTTAACAGCATAATTTAAATTATGATATGCTGAGTTAGAAAATATATCAAATAAAAGTTGCTAAACAACAATATTTTTACATCACTCAATAATCTGTTTTTAATGTTTTAATTTTCAAAAATCTCTTAAATTTATTTTTTTGAATCTTCTAATTTAAATTTATAATTTTACTTTCACACTATTGTTGACCATAAATATAAAAATGTATAATTTATCTCAATACTAATATGCAAGTAAATTAAAATTAAAATTTTAAATGGTAACATTTTTATGTATTGCATAAAATGTTGGTAGTAATCATCTAAACCTTAATCTACTTGTGAACAGTTAAGATAATATAAAACGGACAAGATATTTATAATATAGAATTTGTAAATCCATTTTACACAGAGGCAGTAAACGTTTGGTTGTTGATAAACCAATTTAAATATTTGTAAAGCCGATTTCTTCTTAAAAGCTAATGCAAAGTATATATCAGATTATCAAAATAAATAACACTAACTTTAATGTAAAATTAACAAAATTAGATAGAATTTTTGGTTATATTGTAATTTATTTTGTATACATAATGTAATACATAATAATAATGTAAATAAAAATTTTAATATAAATTAATTATGCGCAAAAAAAAAAAAAAACAACAAGCATAAATGTAAAAGATAAATGTTTTTTATAATTAATAATAACCACTACATATAATAAAATAATAACAATCGCAACCATTCCAGTTACCAGCACACATAACAAAAAAAATAAAGAAATATATTATAATATATATATGTTAATAAATGAAATAATAGTTTTGCAATAAAATATCAAAGATAATCATAATGGAATAAGATAGAAATTTAAGATAATATAAATCACAATGCGCCGCCCGCTATGACTTGTTTTGACATCACATAATTCATAATAATTTATGTTGATAAAATGTATACATTCTCCGGCGTACAAAAAAACAAAAACAAATGTGGCACAAATAATAAGATTAAAAATTTAAAAATTATAAACACTGCTATTGTTTTTTCAAACAGCTAAGTTATTTTTTATTGTTTTAGGCTGATGTAGTAATGGTATCACTGCCACTACTGGCACCAATTTTTTCTGGTAGAATTGGTGGTGGGCCTGATATTACCATATCGTCATCCAACAAATTTAAGATTGGAGTGGCAGTTGATGTCATAGTGACCAAACTACCACCACCACCACCACTACTGCCATTACCTGCAATAGGAAACTGTTGTTGATAATACTGTGGCTGCTGTTGATGTTGGTTGAAGGCCATTGTCCCCACTGGTGGCTGCTGATAAATGTAATTGTTAGGAGTTGTTGGTATCGTATTAAATGTATTTGCTGATATCACAGTCGTTGGTGGAAGATGTTGGAGTTGTTGATAATAATTATTACCGATACTAGTAGTGTTGTTTGACAATGCCGGTTGTTGCTGCAGACTACCAGTTACAGACGAGGTCGTTAAAATCGATGTTGGTTGCAGTTGAAGTTGTTGCTGATGTTGTGGTTGGTACAGTTGGGATGCCTGTTGCTGTAGAGATGATTGATAGTAAAATTTTCCAGTTGTACTTCCTACTGAAGTCGGTAATTGATGAGGCTGTAGTTGTCGTTGCTGTAACTGTTGATACATCTGAGGTGTTTGTTGTTGATACAATTGAGGCTGCTGCTGCGGATACAATTGAGGCTGCAGTTGCTGTTGGTACAAATGTGGTTGCTGTGATATCTGTTGCTGAGGTTTTTGTTGATACATTTGAAGTTGTTGTTGTTGCTGCTGCTGTTGTTGTTGCTGCTGTTGTTGTTGTTGTTGCTGTTGTTGTTGCTGCTGTTGTTGTTGCTGCTGTTGTTGTTGCTGCAATTGTAATGGCAATTGATGATAGAAATTAGTTACAGTTGATGTGCCACCACTAGTAATGGAAGATGGTTGCGCTACTGATGTTAAACTACAACTGCTAACAGTAGTTGTCGAAGTTGGAGGTGAAGAAAATGGCAATGGTGACTGTATGCTAGCAGATAAACTACTGCTTTCCCTTATTAATTGCTGTTGATTTTGTTGTACAAACACTGATGTTGTTCCAACACTTGTCACACCAGCGTTGGTGGCCGCTATTAAATTTTGTTGCTGGTACTTTTGTGGCGGATAAAATTGTTGCTGTTGTGATGCTAATAATGTATGAGGATGGTGATAACCATAACCACTAGCAGCACCATAACCAATACTACTATATTGTGATGGTAGAGGCCGTTGCAAAACTGCAACTGCTGCTGCTGCATTTGGGAAAACATCACTACCACTACTTTGACTATAAGAAGAAATTACGTTTTGGCTACTGCTATTGTTATCACTCAAGTTGAGAGTATTCATCATAGGCATCACGGACAAATCAATATCACCACTAGTAGTTGCAGTAGTTATAATATTGTTGTATGATGGTGATGGAAGTGCAGGATTTACTGCTGCTTTAGTTGTGAGTAATTCATAATTGTAATAGTTATATGGCATAGACGATGACGATATCAAAGAGGATGGAAGTGATGAAGTAGAAGAATTATCTGGAGCCGTCAGTGCTGTTGAACTTACAGTGACATTGTAAGCAGCTGGATACGAATAATGTGTTGATATTGTTGATGCTGGCTGTTGTAGACTATTGTGGGGATTGCGAGTTTCGTTTGTAGAAGGTAAATTACCAGCATAGTAATGAATGCCACCATCATTGGGATTAAATGAAGACGATGGCGGTAGTTGTATTTGATTATGACGGTACTGATGATAATATTGTTTTTGCTGTTGTTGCTGTTCAGATCCAAGAGGTGAAAGCCTACGAAGATGGTGATGCTGGTCGTCCCAATGACTGCTCCCAAGAGGTACAACTGGCTTATTAGGCCCACTACTGCCGAAGCTTTTAATCAAGGCAGCCAAGTCATCCTGTTGGTGATCTTGGTCATCAATACCTGAGACAGCAGCGAGTAAATCATCAAGACCACCAATTGTAGTGGTTGAGTCATCGTCCATTTGTTGTGAAGTGGCTTCCCACTTTTGATGTTGTTTTATCATCTGATCTCGTTGTTCGGTTTGAACCTGACACGTGCCTGTTTATAACAAAATATACAATGTATTACAGATGTTGACAATAGTATAAATAAAAACTCCATTGGGATGATTGTTAAATAACTAATAAGTTCTTAAAGAATTACATACCTTTTACACGTTGTAATAGTTTTGATACATTAGTTAGTAACCGTTGGTAGAAATCCAAACCTTTTGCACACCGTTCGGCTAGAACCGCATCTGGGAGTAGTCCACAGTTCGGTGATGCTGCCATAGTTTCACCACAAGTTTCTAATGGTGTCCCTCCATTAGAAACTACATAACTTTCATATGCGTCTAATAAAGAGGACACTAGAGTACGGCGTCGTTGCATGGCATTGGCAAATGCTCGTCGTTCAGGTGCGGCTCGTGCATATGCCGACCTCACAGCATCCAAAATATTTAGTTGGGCTGACAGGTTCTGATCAATCATGCTCACCTTATTTGCAAACATATATATATTAATCATCTTATGAAAAACTGAAATTACACTTATAGAATTGATCTATAAAAATATTTTATAAGTTTAAAAAACAACCAAAATATGTATGGAATATAAAATTATTGTATTTAAATGCAAGGTTTTAATGAGATACGAAGTCAGTTGAATTAAAAATTTTAGTTACTTTTAAATTAAATAATGAGTTACTAGTTTTTTAGAAATAACTTCTAACTAGACAAGTTTAACATTTTAATAGATTACATTATTATAATAGGTTAAGTTTTCTAGTATAAATCCTCAAGATTTAAAATATAATTCTTAAATTTGTAAAATTTTTTTTTTTTTTATTAAGAAAAAAAAATAATCAGAACACTAAATATCATTTATATATTATTATGTTAAATGTGTTATAAAAAATCACTTACTAAATGGTATTGTCAGTGTTACACACTATTTTTAGATTTTAATTGTGACCAAAATAATGTATGTAATATATAAATATAAACGAAATAAGTGAAACAAGTAAATAAGGTATAAGTATATAATGTAAAATTTTATACTGTATAGTATGGAATAAGATTTAAATGATGAATAAAAACTCATAATAATAGTATAATTGTATATTCAAAGAGTATAATATGCACAAATAATGGAGTAACCATAACTGAAAAATCAAAAATGTAATTAATTTAACAAGTATCCTATACATATTTGTATATTCATTATTAATGCATAATTTTTAATATATATTTTTTGAAGTAAAAATAATAAAAAATATTTAAATGTAAACATGTATACTTATTATGTTATTTCACTCAACAACAATAGATATTAGATAAATATTTATGGAAATTATTGTTCATAACCCAGCCCTGCTTAAATATAAAAATATAATTGAAATTTTGCAATGTTAAAAAAAGCTGACACAATATATTTTATTTTTTATAAGTTTTCAATTTAATATTTAACTATGTACTATGCATAGTAGTAATTTAATAACTGTTGGATATAATTTTATAGTAATTATACTTATTTTAATAAAGTTATAATACATGTTGATACGTACCAGCTTTCCATACCGATCCTCCAACCTCTTTTTCACTGCTCCTGCCACATCAACATCAGAACCTCGCAGTTCTCCTAGTATGTTTGCATCTTCCTGTCCTGCAGCGTCCTTATCTTCTCGGTTCATTTCGTCTCGAAGTCGGGCCAAAAGTGTCTGTCGCTGCTCACGTACTTCTTTCATTTTGCCAACTACCATATTAAGCCGATCCAAACGTTTTATTGATTCTCGTTGCAACATTCGCAATCGACTGTCACTTCCATTATCTGATTCAGAGTCTTCATTTTGATCCGATGATTCTATTAGTAGAAATGTAAACAAATCATATTCATATTTAATTTATAATTAAGTGTTAAATAAACTATTCATGTTATATATCATATAACATGAGTCATCCTGGAATGATGATACTCACCAGCTGCATCATAAGATGACTCTACAGAACCAGAGGCGGCTACTTCAGATGCAATCACAGATATTGTAGGACAAGCTGGCGGTAAACGTGCAGCTAGTTCAGCAGGCGGTAATGCTAGTAGCTCCAGGTCCCGGCGACGACGATCGCGAACAGCTCGACTAAGAGTCACCCAGCTGTCTCGCGCACGGCCCACATGTGCTTCCCTATAACGGGAAGCCTCTCGCCGTAATTCCCGCATTCTACCAGCAGAATAATCATATGGACGACCTACAGTACGTCGATATTCTGAGTCACCGAGTTCTTCTGTCTTTGGTTATGTTTACACCATACAAATAGTCAGCACACAAATATCAAATAAATATAATGAATTAGTTAAAACATACTAATATGATAATAAAATAAAATTCAGCTAGATTTACTAGATAAATTTGTCACAAAAAATATAATATATGAATTTATACTAAGCAACAGATATAAAACCTGTTAAATGTGGAAACACACAAATATTTTGTTTTAAAGTGAAATTTTATTTGTCAATAAATGTTATCAAAATACATAAAATTAATTATTACATGAAGATGGATACCTTACATAAATGTATTGAATGTAGATAAGTTTACCTTTATATTTTTCTATGGAATATAAAAAATACAAATATACTAATGCTATATAACACAACTACTCTAAACTAAAATATTTTTATTTTAACTATAATATTACACCTTAAATGTCTTAATGTCTTTTTTAATATAACTATTATATGTATTTGAGTACAAGGACTTTTAATTGTTTTTATTTTTTACCAAGTTTAAAAAAAAATTTGATTTTATTTTAAAGATTATGTAAAAATATTTCTAGAAAATAATATATACTATCAATATAGCTCCAAAAGCTCTCTTAAATAAAATAACTCTAATGCAAAGTATTAAAATATCACATAAAATTTAAAAATAATAAAAACTTGATTTTAATATATTTATTAGTACTAACAAAATGTTCAAATACAACATATCTATTTAACTTTACTGTTTGAAATTAAACATGTGTACAAAAATTATTTAAATATTATATTTTTACTTTAAAAATATATTTTTTATCCAAGATATTTTTATCAGTTACATAGAAACAAATTACAAATATGTAATTAGAGTATATAAGGTTTATAAGTTTTAAGAGAGTCAAACTATTTAATAATCAACAGTAATTATTTTCATTATAGTCAAAATATTGTCACAAATTATCCAGAGAAAAGGAAAACTACTAATCATTAATAAATAAATGTGCAATACCTTAAGGAATCTGTCTATTTCATCCAGCATGCCATCTACAGCTTGAACCGCAGCTGCCAGTCGAGCCATGTCAATGTCCAATTGGTCTTCTTCAATAGCACCAGATATTATTCCCTCTTTTTCTTGTCGTTGTTGCAACAAGGCTTGGTATGCAGCGCAACAATTAACCAATTGCTTTTTTGCGCAACAATTGTAAATTACACGACATAATATAAACACAAATTAATAACTGATAGAACCAATAAGAATAAATAACAACATTAAAGCTAGTAATTACTTGTGGGAGTTCTGTTACATCACTCTTCTCATTGCCATCATTGCTAAGTTCGCTGTTTTTGCCTTTATACATTTCTAAGCATTCTAAATGTAATGTGTCAGAAAATTCATTTAAACGGTCATCTGCTTCCTTGCACAATGATTGCATATCTGCTTCAAGGTTGCGCTTTTCTGTTCTATTAAAACCAATAAACAAACAATTCAGAAATATAATCATGTATATAAATTATTAGTACAAGATTTTGATAACATGCAAATATAAACTAAACATACCTCACTAAATAACATAAACATTTTAAACTATATCATTATTATTAAAAATCAAATCATCAAATAGTTACTATCTTATCAGGTGTAAATATAAAATATTTATATAAATGTTTTTGAAGTGTTTTTTTTTCTCGTATTTATCAATTATTATAAAACATATTTGGTGATGATACCTTTTTATTAAGCATAAAACATTTCTATTTCAATTTAATTTATTAATACATACATATTACATACTCATGTGGATTAGTAAATTACCTTAGAGTATATGCACTAGAAATATTCACAAAAATGTGTACTTGACCCTGTATTAAAATATTTCAATTAATACTTAATAAATTGAAATAATAATTATTTTATTGATCTAAAAAAAGAATTCTTTTTCATTGTTCATAATAAACAATTTTGGTATATCGAAAAAACTGTTATTTTTTTCCATATATACAATAAGCACTTATTGCACAAATTTAATGTAGTTTTTTTCAATTTTTTGTGTTTTAAGAAATATACATTTTTTAATTCATGGGAATATCTATACTATTTCCAACATATATTATCAACTAATGTTTTTGAAAGAAGTTTTAAATATTATATATGAATAATATTTGCATAAGAATTGCTAGCAAAATTAATGTGACTATATTTTATACCCATAATATTTAAAACATAATTATCACTGAACTAAAAGGAACCTAGGTTAAATACGGTCAAATTCTTAAAACAATAAACAGCATTTTAAAAGCTATGACTTTTAGAAAATAAAGCGTGTGCTCTATGGTTAAATTGAATGTCACATTAGATTTTCGTATTTTTTAATAATACATATTATATTTTCTTGTGCAAAACTACAACTATTTTGAATTATTTAATATGAAATAAATAACTAATTATAATTTGATTAATAGCTTAAAAGTCTAAGCTTGTTAAATCTTTAAATAATAACATATAAAGTATACTTAATAATGTTTCTAAGAAAGTTCAATTTTAATGACTATAATATAAATTTATTTTTATTATCTCTGTAAAGAGTGTAAAGCATAAAGAAAACTATTTCTTTAATAAATATCTTGAAAAATGTAATGACTAATGACTAAGTAATTTTATAATATTTAAAATATAAATCTAACACCATAAAAAAATTGTTTTTTTTTTTTTTAAATTAAATTAAATTTTAAATGTAGTACAATATGGACAATGAACATATTACCACAAATAAAATTTTGATTATTACAAGATGACCTTTAAACTATATTACTCCAACTATAGATATTTATTATTATATTTCAGTATTTAGTTCTGTAGGCTGATAAATGTCTTGTGTAGAATAGTTAAATTATTTAAGAGAAATTGCATTAAAATTATAGAATTGTTAACTAAATAATACCGATATATTGCAGCTCGATGACGAGTAACTGTAGGCACTAGATCCTTGAATAATGTAGTAGTAGTAAAACCACTAGACGATTCATTATTATTGGTGACAAAAACAATAGCTAATAACTCAGGATCATCAACACTAAATGCTATAGGCTTGACTAGAGATGCACCCTTGACTCTATCTAACTGAAGACGATGAGTAGCAGTTTTAGATGGAGTATTTCCTAAGCAATCGCTATCGTCGTCATCAGACAGCACAGGCACTACAGGTTCATGATAGATAAGCTCATTTTCTGACTTAGCTGCTCGCCACTTTGCTGCAGCCACATCCATTGCAAACGACAAAGTATCTCTCCGGATTTCCAATTCCTTTAAAAATTAATATAATTATTATTATTAGACTATTACATAGTTCAGACTAAGAATAAGCCAAAAAAATTGTGCAATATCTCTAATCAACAACCTACCATCAAGACAATTTACTCTATGTTGCATGGGGATGCGCAAAAATGGATTTTCACAGAATCGTTACATGCTTTTTTTTACTAAATTAAGTATAAAGTTTTAATGTTTCATGCTAACATTTAACAATAATCGTCATAATAATAGTTTTAACAATATAAATAACTGTGTCCAATCCGATAAAGAAGAAAAAATAAAATTAAGATTATTTTAATTGACTTTAAAAGAAAATATTTTACTTCTAGTACCACTAGTATTATAAATTAAAATATTATATATACTAAAATATGAATCCTTAAATGATTGGATTAATATCAACTGGTAAAAGATAAATAGGACTAAATGATCTTTAAGGGTTAAGCTATATAGTATTTACTGTGGAACAACAAACAGTTATAGCATTCGATCATGTAAGTGCTAATTACCAATTAATCATAAGGTATTTCATTTTTAGTATTTAGTAAAAGCAAGGTTCAATATTGAATATTGAATATTTTATTTTATTGTTTAAATAAATATAAATTAATAAATTAACATTAATATTTTAGTAATTACTTCTCAACTCCTCTTACTTTAATAGCGGCGGATCGACCATTGCCTGGGCGTCCATGCTCTGATTCTGAGTAATAGTAGTAGTCATCATCTGCTGAATCTTCATCTTTTGACGTCGAAGCAGCTGTCTTACCACCACTTTCTGATATCAAACCAGCTCGGCCAAGCAGATTTACTGCTCGTCGGTAATATGACACACGAGTTCCCATTTGCTGTAATTGGTCTTGGACATGTTGGCCCTGGAATAGGGCAGTAACAGCACCATAATATCGGCATTTGAATTCGGAGTATAGTTTCCATTTCTAAAACGAATTAAAAAATAATTTTTAAAGCAATTTATATGAAATAAAATTTAAAATACATTCTTAAACTTCAATAGCAATGTTTCACAACCTTGTATTATGGCACCACAATAATAAAATATTTAATACTTTATGACACAATAAAAAAATAAGTATAATGGGTAATATTTAAATTTAATTTTTATTGATAATATAAAATTTAATTAAAAATAATGATAATGTTGATAACAGAAAACTTATTTTTAATCATCAAATTAATTATACCAAATACTTTTATTTTTGTAAATCTTATCAAAAATGTTTATATATTTAACATCATTTAATATACTTTGCAACATATTTAGACTTATCCAACGACACACTGGTTGGAAAACATTGCTTTTATTCTGTAGAAAATGTTTACTGAGTGTAATATAACATTATTTACTCACCCTAAGCCTGTTGGTGCTAACACGATATGGCTCTTGTTCCATTCTTTGAACTGCACCCACTGCTTCCGCAAAATACTCACATATCATAGCTGATACTTTAGCTACATTGATAATATTAAAGGAGAAAAAAAAAATCAATAAAAAAAATAATAGTATCATAATAGTATAGTCGAAAATGAATAATATAGGACTACTTCAAAGTTAGCTAGTTGAAAATTAATCAATTTTTATATTTTGACCAATCTCTCAAAACAATAATTATTTCAAAAAAACCATTTTGCTTTATTTTTTAACTATTAAAAACAGTTTTAGACTTAAAATAGTAAAATAAACAATATTTAGGTTTAAATATAAAAATTGAATTTTTTCATTCTATTTTTACTCATTTCACAGTGAATTGATATGACAGGAAAAAAAAATGTTATGAACCTAATGTTTGAATGAAAAATTATTTTATTTACTTATATGGATATTTTAATAAAATTAATAGATACCTTTTTTTAATATTTGAAGATGGTTATATGTTAAAAAATTGAAATTATTTATAGGTATAGAATTTATATATACCTATTATAAGAGGTTTTCGGCCATCCATCATGCTTTTCTCCAGTATACACTCTTGGGCTTGTGCTAGTGTCACATTATAAGCAAATTCAAGAACTATACGACTTGTAACTTGTGGCTTCTGTCGATGATTCCACTTAATTGGTTCATTATAAGATCCATCTCCACCAAGCAATTGCTGAAAAGCCCATGCAGCACACTGCAAATGTGTACAAGCTATCTTAAGAGCATTGTTTGATGGAATTTCCTCATCAACTGTTGTTGGCTTATTGGATGGTACTAATGGTGGTGACCTGTCCTGTGCTGCAGCTAGGCGGCTATGAGCTGCACCTATGTTATATAGCACACACCTCATCTCATACCCGATATTTCCAGTTTCAACTACAGAAGCAGAGTTCATA